TATGGATATTTTTTTTGTCCTTTAACATGTTAAATCAACTTGGAGTGTGTATATGATTTATTAACTCTTTGCATAGGCAGATGAAGCCACTGCCCCAGCTTCTTAAAGTTCAGCCTTCCCTGATTCACACTTTCATCATTGCCCCAACGCTCCCCGCCCAAGGAGAGCCAGCCAGCTCAGTTCTACTTTCCCATCTGTCTGTGGGTGAGCCCTAACCTGCTTTCTCAGCATGATTTCTTACTGTTTCATATATAAATCATGCATAAATCACAAGCTCTTGTTAGACTGGCTTTTTTCTTTCCCTTGTAGGAGGCACAATTAAAAAAAATTCGAATGATTGGCTCCAAATCACAGATCCACATGATGAAACCTCTTTGAATTGAATAAAACATAGGTCTTCCTTGGACTCCTTTCAAGGGGGTTAAGTTTCTATGGTAATTATTTATAAGGTGATGTTACATTTAATGTAGTTTCACAGATGTAGTCTTAAGAAAATTATTCTAGCGATTGATGTTATTTAAAAACACTTTGTAAAATCTAAGACTGTTTCACAGAGGCTGGGAAACATGAGGAAAAATATGTCTATTTATCTTAAAAGAAACCTTTTTCTATCATATTGAGTAATTTTTAAAAAGCCAAGGTTGTTAGGGAGATGACTAATCAACTTTAGAGAATAAAGAGAGCAAAGCTGAAAAAAATAATAGAGTTACTATTTGGGAGAAGTGACTCCTGAAATGAGAGTGGTTCATAGCATCTTCAGGCAATCAATATCCACAGCATTTACCAAAGCTTGTTCTCTCTTTTTATGCTACAGAAATCACATACATCTGCCACCAGATGATTATTAATGTAATATCTAACCCTCATTAGTAAAAGGAAGCTCTTTCACTCACATTAAGATTTTGTTATTTTGCATTCATACTTCTCTTTGAACACTTTTAATGAATATAGCCCCACTCCATCTGGATATACCTTAAGCTTAACAGATTATATTTAAATTAGGCAGATTTGTTGAGTTCTGAAACCAGTTCAAAACTTCGTTTTCACAAAAATTATTGAAAATTAGTTTGCAATTATTCCCAAGGGTATATTTCATAGACCAGGCACTGTATCTTTATGGTTAAGTTTAGGGGAGAGAAAATACAGCATTGCCAAGCATTACTTTAAAATAACCTCAGGAAACTAGAGTTAAAAACAATTAATACAGAGGAATAAAACTAGAAAATAGTAGTTATCTGAATTTAAATGGCATACATTGGCTATGGGTATGATATACAATTTATTTAAGAGTGTATTAATATGTAGTTTGAATTGACTGTTTTTTGTTTGTTTGTTTGTTTGTTTTTAATACAATGTTAAAGCCCAGTGCATCAGCCTAGAGACTTGTCAGGTTCTGCTGTTTTATCTACAGTTATCAGGCTCCAGTGCTGCTTATTCCCTGGACTGTAAGCCTCTAAGGGCAGATATCCCATCACTTAGCACTTGGAACATTCTCAATCAATGTTAGCTGAGTGAAAAAATGAAGTTCTGCCTCCTCTCCATAACCCTAAAGAATGCCAAAATGGAATTAGCCTCAACTTGTAAGAAAGAATAGACTTAAATATTAGTCCGTGTATCCTGGAAAACTTTTGGCATAATGCTAGATCCAGGAGAGAAAGAACAAGAAACTTGCCATTTTGCCCCCCTTTCAGGAAATTCTCACAAAGATTTTAGCTTAACTCGAACTATGCCTTCACATACACGCTTACATATCTCAGTGCAGTGCTGGATTCCCTGTAACCCAAAAGTAGAATTTATAGACCATTTACTTTTTTCTGTTGCAGATTCTCTCATGTACCTTGTTTCAGAGAAAGTACTCCTCTTATAGCCCAGACTGAGACATTAGCAGGTAGGTATTTCTCTGGGCTTCAGGGAAGCTGCTCTGGAAAACAGCAGGAAAAATACGTGTGTAAAAGTGAGCTACTCCAGAAGGATAAGGTTCAGAAGTGAAATGTGATCTCATGGAATGCAATTACCTAAGAAGCTGTGCTTCAACATTTTTGTTTTCAGAGTAGCGCCCACCAATCAAGTGGTGGTGTAGCTCAAAAAACTACAGAATTTATAATTTTAGAAATCTGAAATCGAATTTGCAATATGATCTCAGTGGCTGGGTCACTTCTTGTAAAGATTTTTATCTGATTATAAAACAAACAGCCTCCTTCTTCAAGGCATATTAGTGCCATGAAATCATGCTCCAACTTTGCCCTTTTTCATTATATCAGCAGGAGCTTAGAATCTGGTATAAGAAAAGGCATGACAGAGAGTTAATTTCTGCCAATGCCCTTCTGGCCTTCACTGCAAGAGATGTTTATTTAAATTTTTTTCTGGGCATTTAAGTAGAGTTTTGATGGTGCTTCTCACCATGCTACTGGGTCTGCATGACTGCTTTATGGTGAATCTGAAACCTGAGGGGAAATGGTCTCAGAGTCCTTGACCTTTGATGGATTCTAAAGTTATAGTTTGGAGACCATGAGAACCTTGGCAAATGAAAGAAGCATATATCTTTTCCATGAATTTGCTTTTGTGAGATTTCAGGATAAAATGTTGCTTGTTGAGGACGTGCCAATGCCACTTGCCCACACTTGGGGAGCAGCTCTCAGCTGGCATGCTGAGCACAGAGCTTTGCCCTTGTGGTATCAGGTGGTGGAAACGCTGCCTTGTGCCCACACTCACCTGCTTTGGCACACCTCCAGGATAAGCTGCAGCCTCGGTATGGTCCAAGAAGTTTGCTCCTTGCTTTTTGGGGTCTCAGTAAGAAGCAAAATGATTCAACCAGCAAAACAAAGGCCTAGGAAACATTTGCTGCTATCAGCTTTGATGGTTACACCCAAATTAGAATTTCTTGTAGTCTCTTGTTTAGGTTTTTTTTTGTTTGTTTGTTTGTTTTTAAACAAGGGGACCAGTTAGGAGAGCCAGGTTAAACCCTTAGACAGAATTATCCCGAAGAGCAAAAGTAGCAAATGATAGGCTATGACTGGGGACTGACTTTGGGGAAGGCTGGATTTTTGAAATGAGAGGCAAAAAAGTTTTCACCTTCTAGCCCACAGGTTAAGTTACTGAAAATAAATCACCACCATTTCTACACATTTCTTATGTGTTTACTCTTATTCTGGAGAGTAATCTAACTCATCATTTGCGATCAGAGCCTCTGAGTTCTGTTTGTGTTTGCTTTTGCTCTTTGCTTTGCTACTTGTCCGGGTGTTTGCTTTCGCATCTGACATCTGTTGATAATAGAAACCTTTGTCTTCAGCTGGCCCGCCCCAGTTCTCCTGGCTCTCGCCCTCTGTGGCATAGGAGAAACCTTCCTCCACTGAGAAAGGGTCATCCACATCGTAGCGTTGGTAGGTGCTTTGGTGCAGGGCCTCTTCTCGGGCACTGATTTCCAGGGTGCTGTTCCAGATGCCATACCCAAAATAAATGAGCATACCTGCAGGAGGGGAAAGGCACAGGTGAATGAGCAGTTGCTTTGGGATCCATGGGAGATCACCCTCAATGGTGTAAGCAGAGCTTGTGATGGATATGTTCTCTTTCAAAATACAGTGTTTTGAAAATGACTCAAATCAGAGGCCATTTAAAATTGGGAGATCTTGCATTAAGCAACCTATGTATATAGTTTTTCCTAAAAAATCAGAAGGTCTGACAACACTACACTCACATTCCTATATGGCAATCTTTAGGCTGGAGGTAAGAACTAGCTGACAGTTTAGACAGGATATGGGTTCTCTAGGTCACCTCAGTCCCCACTTCCCCTGTTGACATCCAGCTCAGTACATCGTGTAAGTGCCAGGAATTTACATTTTTTTCCTGCCCTGGGTTAAATATTTATGGATCAGCAACAGTGTATTCCCAACATTCTCATGACATTTTATTATCCTATGCCTCCATCTTTTATTTTTCTACTTAGCAGCATGCATATATTATCCTACAATTTCTCTTGCTATTTTTCATTCACTGAAAGCATAATACGTTACTGGCACTCAGAGCTGTCTATTTTCTTCTGTTGCCTCTCAGAGTGTCTAGTGCATGCCACTCTTATGACCCTTAGAACATCTGTTGTGTGTGGTTCTATTTTATAGACTACAGAAAATTGGCACTTAATGTTTGTTGGATGAATGAATGAGAACTAATAAGCATGAAATATCCATTGCAACTCCCTGTTTTGATGTCACTCCAAGCAAAGGAAAGAAACTTGCCTCCTTAGTTAATATGTACCATTAATATGGGCTAATGTTTCATTTCTATTAGAATTTTTTTGAAATAATATATAAAAATAGTTTGAGAGCCCCCATTTTCTACCTGGAAAAGCCCATGAAGGCTCACAGCCTGGAAAGCTGAGAACCATATCCTTGGGAGGTCATAGGACATGGTAATTAAGAGTGTGAGCTGTGGGTTCAAATCTTGCCTCCACCACTATTAGATGTCTAACCTTGGATCAGTTACTTAGCCTCTTTGTGCCTCAGTTTTCTCTTCTGTAAAACAATGAGAGTTATTGTGCCTGTAACATGGGGTTGCTGTGAGAATGATACCAGTTAAGCAATAGTTTTCAACCCTGGCTGTACCTGAGAGTCATCTTGGGAGTTTTTGAACCACTGTGATGCTCACATTCTGCCCTTAGAGATACTGACTTATTGAGACCCAAGCATAGGTATGATTTTAAAGTTCCAGGGTTATTCTAATAGTCAGCCAAAGCTGAAAACTGCTGAGATCAGGAACGTAAAGCTCCTGATGCACGTACTCTACTGCCAACTCTGGTCATGTTATGGCCTGGCCACTGGGGGCCACTCAGGTATACAACGTTTTTCCAGGACCCCCTAACACTGTCTTCTGAGTGGTACAAATCCCTTTGACTTGGCTAACCCTGCAGGCATCTGCTGGGCTGTTTGTTTAGAACGGCAAGGTCAAGCCTGTTTTCTGCTCTGGTGCTTGAGAAATCCTGCTCCCTTTTCAATTTGAAGTGTGTCTTTTTAAGCTTGGATTTCTCCTCTCTTGTCTCAAGTCACTTCCTGTACTCCCCTTCCACCACCGCCCCATGAAATCAACTTTTCAGGAGCCAAAGTAAGCAGAGATTTATAGTCCTAATTGGTAATAAATCCTAGAGTTAATCACTTGCAGATGTAGCTATTACTTCTCAAATAGCGACTTGATTTTTCTGAGCACGGATTTTTATTCTTTCTTGTCTGGGAGTGCAGGTTGTCCAGAGGGGATATTTACTATCCTTGTGTAGAATGAGGCATCAAATTAAAACCTCTTCTAACGGGCTTATGTCGTTTCTTGGAGAATGTTTCTGTTGGGAGCATGTCTGAGACCTGAGAATAAATTTCAGGAGACTAAGTAGAATTAGCAGACACACACCTTTTGCTCAATTTTCTATTTCTATTGCTATCTTTTCTCCTAGACATCAAGGCAGGTACCAGTTCTTTCTTCTCTGATCCCCTTCTTCGACCTTATTCATTTCCCTGCTGAATTCAATGCCATTTTTTCCTTTTCCCTTTGCCTCTAACTTCTCTGCCACTTCTCAACTCATTCAAGCACTGGTTTGGCATCTATTCTGACAGACCTTCCCCTGCCCCCACCAGGTATTGGGGTGTCAGGTAGATTGATATTTATGGGAATTCTCGGTATGATTGCTCATAGAATCATGGATATTTAGGACTGGAAATGTGTCTATGGATTATCTACTTGAATACCTTCGTTTTACAGAAGAAGAAACAGAGTCTGGGAAAGACTAAGTCCCTTGCCTGGGTCTGAGAGGGGCAGAACCAGCATTCCATATGGATCTAGGAAAATTTCTTGCATATCTAATCCTTCACACCTCCTTTCCCCTGGCTGGTTTATAGACTATGCTTATTGCAGTAAATACTCAGTAAGAGGTTAGGTCTATATTTGTTCTTTGGGAGTGGCTTGTCCTGGAGGGAACATTGTGTGTGTGTGTGCGCGCGCGCGGGTGCTCATGTGCACACATATGCTTGTGTAAATGCATCAACTATGATTACTTTGGGAAAGCAACCCATGGAAACCTGCCACATAGATATTTATGGGCCTTTTAATGTTTGCTCTGAGCCTCTTACAGTTTCAAAGGTATGTCATTCTGTTTTCAAAAACACATTTCAAATATGAGTGCTATGAACCAAGAGGTGACTGTGTGTGCAGCCTGACAGAATAAGTAGTCGGCTTGGGCAAAGGCATTTTCCTAGGTCCTGGCATTCTGTCTGCCTTTATTATTCTTGCTGGCCCTTGAGTCAATTCAGGAAAAGTGGTGTGAGGCAGAGAAGGATCAGAGAAAAGGAAAAATGGAGGAGTACAAAGAAACAGAGGTGGGTGGAGAGAGAGAGAGAGAGAGAGAGAGAGAGAGAGAAACACATTCAAAATGGTTTTATACGAACTCTGATGAAGGGAGTCTCTGGATGCTATTCTAAAAAATAAGAGCAGAGAAGAGACATGTATTACCATCTGTTACACATAGACAAGGGCTTTGTGTCAGGAGGAGTAAACAGAGCTGCTAAAAGCCTCCTGTGTAGAGCAGGGTGTTCTGTTTCTGTTCCTTCTTTCACTTGGCTTAGAGAACTAAGCATGAGGTAGTTTCTGAAAAATCTGTGGGGATTCTGGGAATCCTGAACTGTCTAAACTAGACTTCACACAACAGCACTGAGTGCTGAGGTCCCATAATGATGCAACATTTATGTTGCACCTTTCTCCCACGGAGCCCAAATGTTATCTTGTTTAGACTCCTCTTAACCTGTTTCGGAGTGTGTGTGTGTGTGTGTGTGTGGGTGTGGTGCGTAAGGTTTTGAATATGTGCATTTCACAGACGGGAAACTGGACACAGGACGAAATCAAGGACTGTCCATGGCAACACAGTTAGTGGCAGGACCTTGAAGCTTCTGGGTCTCTCCATGTCCAAATCTGTTTTTTCTCCCATCTACCAGGGGTGGCTATGAGGCATAGACTGATTGAAAACAACTTTGCTTAAGTTTTCGTTTTGAAGAATTTCAAACATACACAAAAATGGAGAACCCCATGTACTAATATAAAGAACCCATTGTGCTCATCACTAGCTTCCTCAGACACTAACCTATACCTCATTGCTTCTCTTTAGATTATTTTGAAACAAATCCCTTCCACACTGTTTCATCTGTAAATAGTTTAGTATATATTTTTAAAATAGATTCCTTTAAAAAACTTAGCATCATAATCATATCTAAAAACCAATAATAATTCCTGTCATCTGATATCTAGCAATATTAAAATTTCCCTAAATATTATACTTGTGGGGAAAAAATTATTCACCTTAAGAAACTATACACTTATTTCAATGATGCTTTCATTGCCTGAAATAGTTTTTGGGCACTGTTATTTAGGTTGTCAATGGGACTAGTATCATATCCTTTTGCAAACCCTTATAGACAGTAGAGTTTTACTTTTGAGAGTGGATTTGGTTTTGGCGTATGCCAAACCATCTGGACCCAAGCCTTGAGAATAAGATGGCTAATTGATAAATAATATTATTTATTCTATTTGCATATTTAATTCTGCTGTTCCTTTAAAAACTTCAATCCATTGCTTTGTAGTTGTATATCTTACACCTATAATAAGTGAAAGGCAGATGTGATGATGAAAATCAGAAGGCAATCAATTTTTGTGCTACAGTGTGAAAAGAGGGGCCCTGGAGGCCCCACATGCTGGGCTGGAGTTTTTTTTTTTTCAGTCAATGGATCCTAGTGGGAAGGGACACTCAAGGCAGCAACTAGTTAGCAGCAGGCACAGAAGTGTTTCAATATTTTAACGATAGACATGGCTGTACAAGGGCAAACTGGCTGAATGCGAGCCCTGGTCAAAGGTAATGGCAACGAGTCCTTTGAAAGGCTGTTTGCAGCAAAGGGAAATATTCAAAGGGAAGCTTTGGCTTCTTTTCTGATTAGAGTTCTCTAGTGGAGAATGTGCTCATGAGAGGTTTGGGCTAGACAAGATGAAAAATCATATCTTCGACAATTGAATGGGCTTTCTTTATGTAATAGAACACCGTGGGATTATAAAATCTTTATAAAAAAGTACTTCTTTATCCATCATCCCAGAGAAGTTAACTGCACAATGAATCAGTGATTGGAATAGTACTGGAACTCGCATCTCTTGAGTCTGTTCCCATCCCACCCAGCTGCCTCCAGGGAGGTTTAGGAATTCCAAGCCTGCATTCAGACACTGGGCACCTAGGCACCAGCTGGCAAAACACCTACTTACTTCACTTGTGTTGATCCATCCTGTGATAGTTAAGCAAATGACCCCAAACCTACAAGTGAGAGGGGTGGGAGGAGGAGGTCTTTTGGATCATATAGGAGAAAATCCGGAACGAAAACTCAGCTCTGAAAAGAGACTGAGTGACCTGGAGATAGACAAAGCAGCCGATTTCCAACTGCGTGGGTGAAACTTGGGTTATGGAGCAGGTCCTTGATCTCTGGAGTCCCCTTGGGGCTTCCTATCCTCTGCATGTAGCTCCATGCTCCGGGTGAAAAGAGGTGGGCCACCTGACCTCAGGCTGGGTGGAGCTGCCTCTTCCAGGGGTGCACTTTCCAGCAGGAAGCCCTGCCCGCTGCAGATAACTGAGGTGCTTTGTTATGCCCAGTCTTTTTTATTTTTACCAGTCTGGGATTAATTTTCCAAAACAGACATTTGCCAATGTAGAAACGAAGACTCCGATGGTAATAAGGTATCCTCCCATTCAATGCAATCCCTATCAACTTTGCTGATTATTTTTTAAAATACCGCCACATTGTAATAACAACAGGGTTTGTTTAACGAGGTGTAGCCAGGAAGAGCAGGTTTAGGATGGAATTGGGGGAGGTGGAGAGTTTCTCTCTCTGACCCTGCAACTGATCTAACATAAAGTCACATTACTTTATGCCTCAGTTTCCCATCTGCAAATGGAACTGGGAGCCTTATATCATTTGAGGGGTATAATGGCCATGAGATTGAATTCAATCATGTTAAAGAATATTAAAAGATCTAATAATCCAAGCTAGCAGTTCCACTTCTAACTCAATAGACCTCAAGGGAACTGTGTCTATTTGACCGCCAAACACTTGGACAAGAATGCTCATAGCAGCTCTATTCTTATAGCCTCAAACTGGAAACAAGCTGAACATCCAAGGAGACTAGAATGGATAAATACTCTGTGGTATATTACCACAGTGGAAGGCTAGATGGGAAGGAGAATGAATAAACTAAAACTACAGGCAACGTTGTAGATGAATCTCTCAAATGTAATGTTGACAGAAAGAAACCCCAACACCCCTTCTTTCGTGGCTCTAAGTCTGTTCCAGGCGCACTGTGCTCGCCCTCTGCAGGGCCTTCCACCTCTGTGATGATCCTCCCTTCATTCTCGGCTGCCTCCGGGTGCAGAGCTGTGGGATCGCCCACCCCTTCCTCCCCATAGGTCTCCCTGTTTAGCACAGCACCTCCGCCAGCAGGCAGCCTTGACTGTGGTGGGATTCACCTCCTTCTTGGAATCCCACTGGCCCTGTTGCCACCCTCAACCTGGCCTTCACGATTTTTCTTGCTCTTCTGAGCATGATTTCGATGTTGAAGGTGCCAATGGTTTTCTCCTCTGCCTATAAGGAGAATTTCAAACTTATTTATGGGATTAATCAACAGGAATTTTTAAAATCTCAGTGCCCTCTCAACTCCCAATTCATGGCCTTCTTCTTTTTCTCCTCTTTCCTTCATCAAAATGGTTGCTTTTGTCCATTTCCAATAAGATTTCAGATGATAGCTCAGATAAAGACCGTAAGAGGTGTCTTCTCTTTGCAATATTTTTGGGGGTCCACTGCCCAAATTGCAAGTTCTAACTGTTCTCTAAATCTATAGATAAGAATTTGTTTTCCTCAGGGGGACTGAAAACATTCCTGATAAAAAGTTGGCATCCCCCAGTGTAAGGGGCCCCGCACACTGGTCTAACAGATGATTAATTCATAATAACCGCCCATAGGGAACAGTAGATCTGAAAGATGCCCATGAAAATACCATTGTACAGGGTTCTCACTGGTCCTTGCTATTCTCATGTCTCCTGAGACTCTGCCCAATTCCTTGAGGTGTTCTTTACAAAACTACATCAGCTAAGAGAAAAGGAAAACAAAGGTTGCTTTGTGCTTATTTTGTTGCAATTATTAACCATTTGCTATTGTATTATTTCTCTTTTCCGAAGGAAATCTTGTTGGGACTTGTGCCTCTTTAACATTATGAGACGTGTCTTCTGAAGGTCAATGCTTAGAAAACATTGTGACAAAAATGCTGTAATTAAAATTCCCTTAGAGAAGGTTGGGTAAAAAAATGTATCCAAGCAGATTATCAAGTGATGACTCAGCCTAACCATGTAAATCTTTTTAAAAAGTAGCCGATGTTTCATAAGAAGCTCCATTAAAAAATATCTCTACTATTCTCCCCAGGAAAGCTATACTATGAATAGAGAGATTAAGAAGAAAAATCTGACATTTTGGAGACTCTGAAGTTTAGAGGTGGAATATTTATTCTATAAAGTCATTAAAGATTTTATAATCAACTTGAGGGGTTGCGGGATGGGTATATTTTATACATAAACAAATTTATTTTGAAAACTAGGGAGTTTTTGTAATTAAATTATCTGCCTTGCTTGCTAATGTCTTCGTATTCTTCTCTCTAGATGACTGGCTCACAAATTTGAGCATGCATCAGAATCACCTTGAAGGCTTGTTAATACCTAAATTGCCCTCGAGATTCTTATTTGGTAGGTGTATGTGCCCCAAACTCACTTCTAACTAGTTTTCACATAACGTTGATGTTGCTGGTCTGGGAGCACACTTTGAGAACCATTGTTCTAGATAATTTTAAACCTGGCTGCACATTAAAATCACCTGGAGGAGTTTTAAAAAATACCCTAGATTTGCCATAAAAGACCAACTGAATCAGAAAAACTCTGGGTAGGGGGAATCCTGAGCATAGAATATTTTAGAAGCAACTCAGGTGATCCTGACGTGTATGTAGTCAGGGTTGAGAATCTTTTTCTAGGTGAAACTGAACACCAGCTTTCAAAGAGCATGACACTAAAGCAGTTAGCAAGCAGCTCGTAACTGGGTGCTTGTTGAGCTGTGGGCTCCTGTGCCCTCTGTGTGGCCAGCCCCAAGCTGCAGAGTGGCATCCTTCCATGTCAGGGAGTATCAGTTTCTGGAGCAAGTTTGAAGTTTGTGCTATCAGCAAGATTGCAAAAGGCTCTCTGGGAGTTTTCTTCTGCCTGATAACTGGGAGGGCAGTCTGAGTCAGAACAGGTTCACGCTGTGCTTTGGCATGTGATAGCTAGTCTGGGGAACAATGAATCATTTTAGATTTTTAAAAGAAAGGCAGAAAAGAAATAATTCTTATTGCTTTCACCAATATATCTTTACATAAGCACCAAATGGCAACCAGATCAAGGCTAGTAAATTATCTGCATTTTTACAGATGAGTAAACTGTAAATTGAGGCCTAAAGTAGTTAAGTGAATTTCCCAAGGTCACAAGACACAGAGGTAGCAGAGCTGTGATTTGACTCCAAAGACAAAGGCCCCTGCCACCTCACCACTTTTGCAAAATGCCTTTGGTATTCCAGAAACCATAGATATTATTCAGGACCAGCTACTTAATTTGTAGATCCTAGTGCAAAGTGAAATCCTGGAGACTCTTGTTAAAAATTGTTAAGAATTCAAGAATGCAGCAGCTGAGCATTAAACCAAGTGCAGGGCCCTATGTAACTGCACAGGGCATATGCTCACGAAACCAGCCCTGATGTTATGTGTTAATCTGCACAAACTACATATCAACCATTCTGGTTGAATGAAAAGGTCTGCTCTGAGGCACCCTGGAAAGGAAGTAGGAGGCCTGGATTTTAGCACTGAGATCCTGGATATTGTAGTAAAAGCTCTGTGAATAACTTCCTGTTACTCCTGTTGACCTTGAGCATGCAATTATCATCTTGGAGGTTCAGAGGAAAAAATGTTGAACACCCATATCCCTGATCTCAGGGAGTGGATGGACTACTAATTCATGAGTATCCATGCAGTCTTGTCCAGGCTAGTTGATTCATGTGCATTTGTCTTGCTTCTCTTTAAGGCAGAGATTACTTATTCTATTACTTTCCTATTCCACAGAGCATCTAAGGATCCTCTTTAGCTAAGTATTTGTTACCAAAGACCCTATCTACGGTTACCAACTTCTATAAGAAACATAAAAATAGTGACTAAGAAACTTTAAAATTAGTCTTCACTTAAACATCCCTTTCAAGTTATCACAAGCACCAATTCCCAGTCATCTCATAAACATCAGTGATTGTTAGATACAATAAACATATAATGAGAGTGAAATATAAATCGATCACAAAGGAAAATTAGAAATCTTTGGAAAGGTACAGAACTTTTTGAAGGCAGTAAAAGTGAGTGTGAAGAGAGCAACTCTCATCCGCACCCACAGCTGTGAACAATTGAGGACCCGACAGAATCATATCAGTTATCAGCAGAAGCAGAGAAAATCAACAAGGATGATAGTGTGATGATTAAAATATCAAAGGATGAAGAAAGGACTTTGGGAAAAAATAAAAGACTCTTGAATATTTTATAAAAGTCCATGTGAAGTAAGAGATATTAAATGGTGCCATGATGCAATTTTGTCTGAAAAATTTTGCCAAAAAATCCACACTTAGTTCATACCTAGCTCATTTAAAAAATTAGGGCATGGTCACTATTTTAACTCAGTTTTATCATATGTAAGACAAATACTTTTTTCACAATTTTTAGTTTCATGATTTTTAGTTTCATAATTTTTAGTTTCTAAGACAATTTTAATCGACCTTTCTCGCCCTCACTTTTACAATGCTATTTTTCCTTTTCAATCTAAATTCATTTAAAGTAGACTTTTTATGGTTTTATTTATCCATAAGAAGAATGCCCAGTAATGAGAATCAATGAAGAGGTGGATTGATCAATATCCTTCTTCAGAACCAACAACCAAGACCATACAGGCAGAAAGGGTTTGACTGGCCTTATTGACTCTAAAGCAGAGAGCGGGGGTCCCTAGAACCAGCACATTTCTGTTGACATGGCAGTGCCAGCAAGGGAGTAATTCTGGGATAAGCCTGTTCAAGGCCCTAAAAGGGAACTCTCAAGTCTCCAAAGGAAGTTGCTTACCCACAAAGCACCAGACAGCAAACCGGATCCATGTGATGGTGGAGAGCTTTAGCATGAGATAGATGTTCACCAGCATGGCAAAGGCGGGCACAAAGGGGAGGCAGGGGGCCATGTAAGGAAGCTTCTTGGGGTTCTCTGGCTGCTGCAGGATCACAAACACCAGGGCACTGATCAGCAGCACCATCAGAACGACCAGAAGGATGGCCCACCAGCTCTGCTCTGAGATGTAGTCAGAGCCAAAGATGATGAAGGAGCAGAAGATGAAAATGAGGATGAAGAGCAGGAGCACGCAGATGGTCACCGTGTGCCCTGTAGCTGCTGTGGGTCGGTCCATTTTGCCTGGAAGGCCCAGCCGGATCCTCAGAGTGTAGTAACGGGGCCCAATCAGCTTTTTTAACTTGATGAGATAAATGTTTTCAGATTCGTCAGCTTCTATGCCTGTGGTCATGTCCACAGTGCCGTAGTTGGGGTGGTTGACATTGTAGGTTGACTTGTCCGATTTCCCTATGAGCATCTCATTGTCTCCCAGGGATGGTAAGTTCTTGGCCCCACACGTGTTGGTGGCGGGGCCGGAAAACTCTTCTCCTTCACTCATAGGAGAACACACTTCCTTCTCACAGTCAGCCAGAATGCCCTCCTTCTTCTTTGTGTGCTCCTCAGACAAGAACTTGACAAAACCATCAATGTCGCTCTCTGGTTGGTATCGAAGAAGCAAGACACAGACAGAGACCAAGGTGTAGGCGAGGAGCGTGCCGATGGACATCATCTCTATCAGGTCTCTCAGGCTGACTAATAGTGAGAGGAGAGCCGCCAGGAACCCCGACACGATGCAGGCCACCACTGGTGTCTCCGTGTAGGAGCTCACATGAGCCAGAAACCTGGAGGGTTAATGAAAGTACAGGGTTAACTGGGCTACGGCTGGTGATCGGCTGTAACGTGGCTTACTGCCCCCTTGTCCTGCCTCTACAACTCACTTTTGGATTCACTGCTTTAAATACAGCTGTGGTTCCTACCCCGGGATTTAGTTCCTATCTCTGGAATATAATTCAAAAAGATTTTACTTTCATTCCTTAGTTTTGAGACACACTTTTAAATTAAAGTTCCTAATTCATTATGTCATGTGAGAGTTGAATTGAATCTAGGAGGTATTTCAGAAATGTATATTGAAGTCTAGGTTTTTCCAGGAAGAAGTGAGAGTTGGAGAAATCATACACCTGCTGGAGGGTCCTCTAGACTTGTGTCACCCAAAGCACAGTCCATGGATCAGTAGCACCGGCATCATCTTGGAGCTTGTGAGAAATACATATTTTTAGGTTTCACCTGTGACCTACTTTACTATGTCAGAATCTTTGGGAGTTGAGCTCATGGTTTTTCTAAAGTTGTGCTTTAAAAAAGCCTCTGGAGTTTGATTTATGCCAAAGCTTGATAAGCAAGTTGGTAAAATAAAACAGTAATTAAGAACCTGTGCTCAGCTCATAGGTACAGGCTAAATCCAGCCAGTTACCAAGTGGAGAAGCCCAACAAGGGTGGTCGAACGGCAGCCGCGGCCTCAGCAGTTCCCTGTGGGCCTTAATTCGGCTCCTGCTCTCCTCCTCTCTCTCCTCCTGATCCTCCCTCTTCCCTCCTCTTCCATTCCTCTCTTATTTTCAGATTTCACACAAGACTATAAACTATGCTCGGATGCCCAGCATCTTTCCTCTTAATTTTCTTTCACAGCAGAAAAACCTTTGGGATGCGTGAAGTTGCCACACCTCCCCCATGGGCAGGTTTTGATCTGTCCAGCTTTCCAAACACAGCAGCTCTGACCTGGCAATGACTTCAAGGAGTAGGTTGAGGAACCAGAGAAAAGATGACAGCCTATGGCAGAAATAAAGTCCCTGAGCTGGATCCCTCTGTACCCCTGAGAGCTCCTTGGCTTCCATGGTTTGCTCCTTGCTTTGTGCACTGGAAGTATGTCTTCCTTGCCAGCCCCTCACACAACGGGCACTGGGAACCAAGAGATGGGGCTACATCCTTTTTGTATCATGAGCAGATAGGCTACTATATGGCCAACGTAGAGCGGTGGAAGTGTCAATATACCTGTTTAGTTAAAAATCTAGTCTTTGGATTCAGACGGTCCTGAGTTCAAATCTTGCCTTCCCTCCACCCACACGCCCCAACTCAGCAGCTGGGAGATTCGGGACAAGTTTTTTCCTTTCTCTGAATATACCCATTTAGTATACTCATCTGCAAAATAGAGTTGTTGTGACGACTAAATGGGATACTGTGTACAAAGCACCTGGAATACATAAATATTTGATAAACGGCAGCTATTGTTGCTGTGATTACTAAGTTCTGTTCATAGGGCCATATTCTTTCTTTGATTGTAACTTTGAACTTTTTCAGCTTCAGAGGGGCTGTGGAGAGAGGGGCAGTTGTCAGGCCTCAGCATGTGGGCAGGCCTACCGTGTCCCTGAGATGGGTTCTTCCTTCTGGAGGCCACCCAGTGAAGCAGTTTGAGTCCTGCCATCTTTACAAAGGAGCACACAGTGTCAAATAGGAGGAGAGGGGCAGTTAGGGGAAGAGAGCAGTTTGTGCTAGATCGAGGGATCCAGAGTCAAACCGAGGGGCTATTTCAGGGCCTAAGCTCTTTCCACTCAAACTCTTTGCCAGGATATGTGACAAGTTCCACAGCACTCATATCAAAATTACAGTCAGGCTGACAGCGGGTGACATTCTCCCTGGATAGGCATAGCAGAACAGAATACATTCCACAGAGAACAGCCCTTACCTGAAAAGAAGCCCATCACCAGCCATGGCATAAATGACCCTTGGCATTGGGAAGAGGGAGCCCAGCAAGCTGACTGTCAGTCCTGCAACCGACCCAATGGCCACTATGAATTTTGCAGCATAGAACCCATGAGCCACAAACATCTCCATGAGTGGGGATTCCGTGTCAATGGCATAATATGGCACCATCAGAGTTAGAATCATGCTCACCTGTTGAAACAAGAGAAAACATGGCTGGAGGTAGAGGGGACTGACAGCGGGGGTGAATGCCTCACAGGAGAGGAAGGGCCCTGCCCTGGCGTCAGAGGCCTGCATGGTGGTTCGGATCTGCCCCTTCTTGGCATGTGCCTCTACTTTAGACCAGTCATTTGGCCTTCGGAGCTCTTGGTCTCAGTATTTTCTCCCCACATGTGGATTTAGTAGACTATACCAGAAAATCTCTAATATCACTCTGTGGCCCTTTCGTATCTGAGGAATAAGTCTGCAGGTATTTCAGCCCCATGAAAGCAGAGCTACACTGACAGTTCAGTGAAGGGCGGATATTACCAGGTTCAAGGACCTGCAGCCACAGGCACTGGAACCAGGGCCTGGCAGTGACCATAAGACTCAGCCCCCATGACAAGAATCTCTTTTCTTTTTATACTTTCAGAGTCCTACATGGTCTTAACTGTACTCCCTCTTACCCTGAACCAGAGATCAAAACTCCAAAGGTAAGTGCAGAGGAGAACCACAGCCAATGAACTGGTGGGACCCAGATGAGGACTCCTATTTCCATCTCCTCTCTGTAACCCAGTCCCAGGTGCCAGGCAGGCCAACAAACTATTTATGGCATCAGGATCGAATCCAGTCCTGCTCTGCGTCAGGAGCCAGGATCCTCCAGTGAAGCCATGGGCCACTAGGGAGGCCAGCAGGATGAACCGCCACGGTCTAGCAAGTTGGTTCTTCTGGCGGTGGAATGGCAGACCGCTGATCAGCACAGGGCCAAACAGCTCCTGAGGCACGGCCTGTGCATTCTCAAAGAATATTTCCCAGCAGTGTCATCACTTGCAATGTCCCCCTTGGGAGTGAGCTGGAGGAGAGTGGGACTGATCTTACAGCAATTTCTGTTGAATCTCCTTCCCACGTTCAATCAGGATAGACGAAGAGTTGGTAGATGCACGGGAGTACTTTGTAGTCTATACAGTGCTACTCTAAGGGAGAAACTGTGATTATTAACTTTATTGTGCTGCAAGGGTCAACCCCAGAGTAGTGGGAGGTATGAGGGAGGAATAGGATGAGAAATGCAGAGCAGGGTGTCTCTGATGCTCCTCTCACATCACCATCACTCTCTGAACACTCTGTCTGCAGGGATAATCAGGATATGGGTAAGATGAAGCCACTCGTATGTGTGTGACCGTGGGAGGTGATAATTGACCTATCCATAAATGTTTGGGTGGGCAACTGAATTTCTACAGACCACATCTAAAACTGCTCTTGTGTTTTCCTATGGTTTCCAGGACAATCTTGTTCTGCAGCTTGTCTTAATGAGTAGTTGACCTGGCTTCTTTAAGTAGTTGCTAAAGATGTTCCCCGCTCCCTTCCCTGGGGGGGAAGGGAAGGAGATGTTTTCATAGGCTGTGGCAGCAGGAACTGCAGGACTCTACCACATCTAAAGACCACATCTAAAACTGCTCTTGTGTTTTCCTATGGTTTCCAGGACAATCTTGTTCTGCAGCTTGTCTTAATGAGTAGTTGACCTGGCTTCTTTAAGTAGTTGCTAAAGATGTTCCCCGCTCCCTTCCCTGGGGGGGAAGGGAAGGAGATGTTTTCATAGGCTGTGGCAGCAGGAACTGCAGGACTCTAGGGCACCTCTGCTTCCGGCTCTTTCCTAACTGCAATGACGGAGTGTGTGGGACCCTCAGAGCCTGGGGGTATTTGTGTAAACGCACACCTGTTGGCTTGTCAGTTGGTTCTGTCCATTGCCGGGGGCTGCGGGGCATGTTCATGTGATGATAGAAATTCTAGGATAGGAGCTGAGAGATGACACATCAAAAGTGTGAGGAGCATCTGAGGATGTGATCCTGGGGACTTTATTCTGAGGACTGCCCTTGGCAGGGAAGCCCTAAAGGGCAAGCTTGAGCCAGTGAAAAAGGAAGCAACAGCAGGAAGAAATTGCATTTCCCCAGGGATTTAAGAGGAAGAGCATCTCTAGGCAGTGTACTCTCTCCCCACCCTGGGGGAGCCTCGCCTCTTTGCTGCCGGGAAGCTCCCAGAAGACAGAAGAGCATTGAGGAGGGTGCACAGAGGCCCACAATGCTCGCACACCCAACCCGTTACTGCCAGCCTATGATCTGAGCTCCTTGGACGGCAGCCCACTCCCAGCACTCCATCCCTGGGCGGCAGTGGACACCAAGAGCCTGTGTGCAGAATGGGCAAGGATGGAGGCTCGAAGGCCGTGGCTGAAGTGAGGGCCTGGGGCTTCTCCCATCTTCAGTTTGGAGTCCTGATTTTCCTCTTGTCACGGGTAGGTGGGGATACAAGAAGCATGGACACATGCATAGAAAAACCAAGAACGCACAAAGAAAAGACCACTTTTTGACAGAAAGGAACCCAATCCTAGAGCTACATTTTAAGGTCAAATATGAAAAGGTCATGAGAAGGGTCCGCAAACATTTGGTACTTACGGATACATATGCCGTCAGGCAGATGACTAGGGAGGCGGTGATAGCATAAGGGATGGATGTGTTGGGATTCTTGGCTTCTTCTCCAGTGGTGGCAATGATGTCAAAACCAATGAAAGCATAGAAACACGTGGCTGCTCCTTGCAGCACCTGTAAGGATGATGATATTTGTCAGACTCAGAGTGTCACGATAGCACCGGGGTCTTACATGTGTTACCCACAATTGGCCAATGCCTTGCAGACATTACTGAGTGGCAGAGGGGGTAACACTGTTGAACTTGTGCTACACACTTGAGTTCTGATCTCCTCTGTTTTCTAACTGTGACACTGCAATTCTCTCATGTGTAAAATGGAGATAAGAAGACTTATGCCCAAATAAAACTAGGTCACTCAACACACACAAACCATTTTGGGAAATAAGTTGGGTTATCAAAAAAGATCACTAAGTTGGCTATCCCTTTGTCTTGGGGGGAACTCATTGACCTCTCTGTGCTTTTTATCCATTGGTTCGCAACCACAACCAGGGACTGTATGACTACCCCTAGGAGATGTCTGTAAATGTGGGGAGGTCCTTGTGACTGTCACAGAGACATGGGGTGGGCACTTCTGGCTTTAGTCTAAGGAGCTCAGATGCTTCTGCATGAAGAAGTGTCCTGTCCAAATTACTGTCAGTGGCCCTGATAGAGCATCTCTATGGTAACTTTCCAGATCGAAAATAATAGAAAAGATTTTCAGATCTTCAGATACTCTGCTGTCTTCCATGGGAAAACAGGTGAAGACAATTTCATTTTTCTTCTTCTTTTGGGGGCTTCAGTGACTGACCTACTTGGGCTTTAAGGCAGGAGAACAGACGAGGTATGAGGCAGTGTAAAGCCGGGAGGTGGTATCCAGTGACATCTGCTGGATGTCTGACAAGAGAGTACTTGGCTCCAAGGATGGTTGGGACTTTATAAAGTCAAGATGTCAGTGAAAATCTTCTAGTGAGGAGTGTGTTACTTTCTTCCAAAGAATCTACTGAAGTATAAATGAAGTTTCCCCACCTTGGCATCTTCATTATCAGCTGAAAATAAAAACTATGCCTCTTTGAATGCTTGGGGATATCTTTTTAGCAGAATATGAGAGAGATTTTTCTGGACTTGTGTGTATGGGATGCACACAAGCTTCAGTGGGGATCCAGGAGTGAGGCTCTTTGTAGACTAGGCCTTTTTCCCTCTTTTCTGCACGTTTAGTTTATAAATGATGAAATTCAAAACATGTGCAAAGCAGATTCCTGTTTCTAAATTTTCACTCTTAGCTTTCCCATTGACTTATTAATAAGTAAAAACCAAAATACTAAGTACCAGAACTTTCAAAGTACATCACAATATTGAAGATCTCTCAAACCTTCAAAAACAATCTTTGCTCATCTGCAGAATGAGCTGGTCTCTTCTACAGTCTCTCTCATTAGGATTTTAATGTTTCAATTCCCTACTCAGGATTTTTTATCTTGAGGTCAATGTGACTCAGAAGAGCCTGTGAATTTTGCTGAGAAAAAATGACATCTCTATTTTTACTAACCTCTGACTGTTAGCATTTCTTTTAATTGTGAAAGTAGGTGGTAAACTAACTGTACCTATAATTTTGTCATCAGTAGCAATCAGACATTTTTCTACTATATTAGAGTTGTTGCAGAAATCTTAGAATAGCAATTATTCTTATTGCTAGTTTCAAATTATGATAGTATTAGACATAAATATTAATATTTAATGTACTAATAAAGAAGCATATTATATTATCACAATTTAAAAATATTTTTGTTACTATATTTCAATATATTGATTCCTTGTGATTTTCTATGTAATTAGGTTATTCATTTATAAACATAATTCTCAAAAGGGGTTTATAGGCTTTGCCAGACTGCCAATGGGGCAAATGGTATACACACAAAAGAAATCTAAGAAGTCCTGGTCTAGCCTAATAATTCAGGGAGAAAGAATTTCTCAAACAAGCAGTTCCATTGCTAGAGAGCTACTTTTTGGGAGAGGAGATAACTCCTGATTTCAATTCAATGAAGTCCTTCATTTCAGGGTATGGAAAATGTCTTTGGCCTTCAGACAAGGAGAGAAAACATATCTCACTTTATTGTGCATGGAGGCTCACAGGCTTAGAAATAAGTTTGTTTTCACTTGTCTAGAAAATGTTTCTGGTCTGCAAGGATGAACAATGCTGGGATTGCAGGCTCACGAAGCTGCTCCAAATCAAGAGAAGCCTTGCTTTAAGACAGCTTCCAGAAAACAGGTTCTGCGCTCTATACCTTTAACACTGTTCTACACACACACACACACACACACACACACACACACACACACACACACAAACACACACACACCCCTCTCTTGTAAATCATACAGTGACCTGCTATGACAGTAAGTATGAAGATGCGTCACTCCCAATTAGCATGTCCCAGTGCTATAGTGTCATGCTTATTTCATGCCGTCAGTTCTGAACTGAAAGGTCATAGATACTAGATGAGCTCATGAGGAAAAGAGGGTGGGAGAGTCCTAAACAAGAATTTTGGGGCAAATTTACCCTAGAAAAAGGTGAAAAGTTTGTACATCACATCATGTGAAGAACAGGTGGGGACCTGGAGATGTCTAACTTGGAGAAGAGAAGACTCAGTGAATGTCACGGAGCACGGCTTTCAATTTGAAGGAAAGACCATGTAGCAGTTGGAGGAGAAGGATACTGTAGGCTCCAGAGGGAATCCCAGGACCGTTAATGTGAGCAGGATAGGATTAGATTAGGAGTGTAGACTTTGTGGACTGTCAGATCTAGGTTGATTCTGTTGCATAGTAGCTTGGTGACCTAGAACAAGTGTCTAATCTCGAAGAGCCCAGTTTTTTCATCAATTAAATAGAGAGAATAATAGTCCTTAGCTCATGGGGTTGTTACAAGGATTAAATGAGATTATAAAATAAAGTGTAGTCCTAGAATACAGAAGATGCTCAATAAATATTAACTCTTACCAGTAGTATTTTTATAAATGGTGTAAGTTTTTCTAGAACAGATGAAACCCAAGGGCACAAACGAATTCCTTCTCCTCAACCCACATTTATTAACTGTTCCGATGTGCCAGGCACTGTGCTTGGTGATGTGGAGATAGTCATGAGCAAGAAGTACTCTGAGCTTGACCTTGTGGGGCTTATAGTCTAAGGGATACTGCATAATCCAAATGCAACCTTGACAGTGATAACAAACTGAATAATATTAATACATATTTATATTATTTTTTAAAACACGAATTCTACTATTTTCCAAGTGAGTGAAAGAGTAGATGGCAATTACTGATAATGATTAGATACCAGAAAGTTAACTATAATCAAGTTGGGAAGAGAGAGAATAAGTTTGCAAAGAGAATGTCTGTTAGGCTGAATTTGCATGTGTAGAACTAGAAAGCAATTATAGTTGAAGAAAGACTGCATAGATCAAAGGTAGGACATTTGGAAGTTCTACTGCATAAGGCAGGAAACAGAATTTAACTTAGATCATTCAAATGAAATGATTTCAACGAAGGGATTTTAGGAGCCAAGGCTGGGAGGGAGGGAGGAGGAAATACCCATGGCCTTGCGCTCTTCTCACCTTCTGATCTCCTGATAGTATCTTCCATTGGCTAAACCTAACAGGAAGCAACCAGCAGGGGTCTTCTGGAGCACAGAACAGACCACGAAGGGTGGAGAATGGATCTGGGGAGTGGAGGCAAAGGGAGAAAAACCAGCCCACCTGCCAAGATCAAACAGACCCTGGCCTAACAAGATATAGATTAAATAAACAGATGATCAAAGAGAAGCTAATATGATTAGCAAATAAGGCCATCTTTTTACTTGGGTTAGTTTGAATGAGTTTTTTTCTTGCAAACAATTGATTCCTGATTGGTGAATACAAAAGAGCCATGAAGTAAACTGTATAGGTGTGTCTCAACTCAAGAAACCACGAAACCTGCTTTCCTCTCTATCCAAATCTCAGATCTGGCCACTGGAATTTGTGATTAGGATGCCTTTCCATGCATGAAAGATTGTGAGGTACCTGGCAGTGAGCATCTGTGAATAAAACTGGTGGGCGATGTGTGTGTGTGTGTGTGTGTGTGTGTGTGTGTGTGTGTGTGTGTGTGTATGTGTGCATGTGTTTGCGTGTTACTGGCTTGGTACTTTATTCTAAGTTGCCTTTAATGTTTTACATAAATAAAAAATAGCATTGACTTTTAATTTGCTGTCATAAGCAGAAATTGTTTTCCAAAGTAAACCCTGTATAGCTGTTCAGCTAGGGGATCCAGATCTGTCTGTGCCTCTATAGAGCTTTGCAGGAAAGCAGCTGCTGGAGGACTGCTGCTTAATTATTTGTCACAAGCAATGTCATTAGTGGCCTGCTACTTAGTGTATGGGGTCCCTAAAAGCTGGCCCCTATGCCTTGCTGATATTTGAGAGGCAGTAGGATGAGGCGGCCTTCATATTCTGCCTTAGCCATTCTGCCAGATGCTTAGGAGATAATTAGGTATCTTTATATAATTTACTCCCAAGGTAACAAAATTCCAACTTTAATTGCATTTTCTACCTCGCTCATACTCCAGATCTATTAGCAGCCTGTTTACAGTGATGGTGGAATGTGCTAATAGATCCAAAAAAATGGATTCAAATGTAGAGAACATGGAAAAGAACTTTTCCTTTGTTTGGAGGCTATCAGCATTCCTCACAAATACTTGCTACTGACCATTTTCCTAGGAGCTATTTGTGCTGGTAGTGTCTTATTTGGTTAAAGAAAAAACCATAAGATAGCATCAAGAACAAATAACATACAGGGAATACACATCCAACAATATCTGGGGGCTGAGGGATTGCAGATGGAAGCAGGGGTTCAGCTGAGGGCCAGCAGTTACTTGATATAGGAAAAAAATGTTTGTTGTTCTTAAGCTCATCAAGACCAAAGAAGCATTTGACCCAAAACCTGTAAGTGAGTAAACCATTCCTTAAGCTATTTTCTTTGGAAGGAAGTAG